AGTAATAAAAAGAACATTTTTCCAGCTACCTAAAGTGATACATTCTGCATGAAAAAGAAGTCTCCCAAAACGCTAGCCCGTGGAAAAGTAGTAAATGAAGGACTTTGCAGTGGAGAGTTCAAGCAGGCCTGGGACAAGGAAGCTGTGCACTTAGAAAGCTTCACTGACTGGAGAAGCCAGCAGAGATGAGGATGCTGCTCTTCAGCACTGCAGGTGACACCGCTTCAGTTGCCGCTAAGAGCTCCCTTCTTTATTTCTACTATTGCCTCTCTGTGGGCATGTGAGAGCCCTTGATATGATGGAATTTGCTTTGTCAGTACTTGAAAGGCTATGGAGATTTTGTTGTCTTCAGAGACAGAGACACACTGATGGATAAAGAATGAGGAAGACATTTGTAGTTAATATGGGGAAAATAAGAGATTTATCCTCATCTGATTTGCTCCTCTATTATTAAATCATATTCACTAAATTGCTTTACTACAACTCTGTTTCTTCTGTTTTAATTATAAATACCTTCCCAATGAAACAATTCACGTTAGTTAGCATGACTAGACTAGCTAGTAAAGATTACTCTAAAACTTTGAAATCTCTGAGACATCCAGCAGGGGCTATGCATAATGTGAAACTTTATATGCACAAATGTTTCTCTTTTTCCCTCTTTTTAACCTTCTTATTTTTTCTCTTTTCCTGACAATCGAATCAGGGCTTTGGATTTATAAGACTAAGAAGTGTGTGTGCATGTGTGTGTGTGTGTGTGTGTGTGTGTGTGTGTGTGTGTCCTACATACTAAACTTGATTCTAAGTTTTTCAGTAAAAAAAAAAGGAAGAGATTGTCCTTTTGAGGTGTTGGCTTACCTTAACAGTGATTGGCAAAAGATCATAACCAAAGGGATCAACTAAATTTTCTAGTCTGGTAGAAGAGGATAGTCACTCCTGGGAAAGCAAAAGGAAAAGCCAAGGTTTGAAGGTGGTGAGCATATGACATTTGAAATATAGAGATGGATATCTCCTTTTGCTTAGAATTGTCATATGCTAATGTTCAAGGTAAAAAGGAAAATTTACTTCTATATGCCATAAAAATGAAGGAATTCAAGTGACATGTTTTTTCAGAAATTCTTGAAGCAGTCTTTGTGGGAAGTATTTTTTCCTTGGTTAACTGCATGCCCTACTTAATCTCCTCTTCTTACCAGGATGTCTCAAGGTGGATACCATCTCTTCCACACCCAGACAAGCATGCAGTACTGACATCCTCGATTTTGTTTTGAGTATTGCCTATTAACTCTGATTAAAACAAACAGAAACAAAGATACAAAACCTCCAAACTCTGATAAGGGAAACTAAAGCCTAGAGTTATGCCACATTTGAGTAAGACAAATCTACAGGGACTGTTTAATCACACCTGATCTGGGTGTTCTGGCTCCAGCCCAGGAACTGATCTGACCCTGGCTTTGACCAGATTCCTCTGATTGTAGAGAGAGTGACATGGTCCCTCAGGGGGAAACTCTTAACATCTGTAGAACACATATGCTAGACAACTGCTGTGGGCAGGGCACTTAGAAACTAAGTCTGCAGGAAAGTCTAACATCTTTTTCCCAACATATAAATTGTTGAGAGATGGAGACAAGTCTGCCCTGTCTCAGAGATAGGACCTGGGCAAAGGAGCCACACCCTTTCCACTGTGGAGAGCTTCAGATAGATTAGCAGTAAATGACCTATTACCTCTGATAAACTCTCTCCTGTTGAGACCAGCACCCCCCCCAACACTTTCTCTCTGAGGGACTCACCTGGAGGATGAGACCTGTTCCCCCAGCTGGACCCTCAGAAGAGCCACAGTTGCCTCAGAAGTGCAGAGCCTCAGCCCCGCTCCCCAAATCTTCTGGAGGAGGGGATCTGTATTTTAACAAGAACCTGGGTGATTCAGGTGGCAGTGTGAATTGAAGTGCCCTGGACTGGAAGCTCTGCCAGAAGTTCTTCTGACCAGGGCAGAGCAGCCTTGACTTCTGAATCCCAAACAGTGCATGTTAAGTAGCTAGGCCAATCCATGTTTGGGGAGTTTTGTGAACTAATTCTGTGCTAATAATTGTTAGACCAACTTGAATAATTGCTATGTCTACTTATTCCTAGTGTTATTCAGTTTGGGTAAGACCATTAAGCTGGTTCCCGGCCATATTTCACTAACAGAGAGGCTGAAAGAGGACCTGAATGAGACAGAGTACAGTGCCAATCTATGGATACCGACGTGTGCTCTGTGACCAGACCCTCCCCTGTGCCCTCTCCTTTGTCTCCTTTCTTCCTTCACAAAAGAATGTGGCTCTTCATAGCACTCAGCTAGCATTACTGTGAAGATTAAGAAACATTATATACTGTAGGGACCTTGGTTTGGGAACAAAAGAAATTGGAAAAATCATGTGAGGTTTGAACTTATTTCTGTTTGTGCGATGGATTCCATTTATTGATTTGTGTATATCGAAGCATCCTTGCTTCCCTGAGATGAAGCCTATTTGGTCATGATACATGATCTTTTTGATAATTTGGTGAATTGTGTTAGTACCTTGTGGAGGATTTTTGCATCCATTTTTGAATCTCCTGACTAGTTTTGGCTTAAAGTCCACTTTGTCTGAAAACAGATAACTACTCCTGCCTGTTTTTATGTTCTGGTTGCATGGAATACTATTTTTCATTCTTTGATTTTTAGTCTGTGAGTTTCTTTTTGGGTTAAATGTGTTCCTTGTATGTAGCATACCACTCAATTTTGTTTCTTGATGTTCTGCCTGTCTTTTGATTGGGGAATTGAGACTATTCACACTGACAGTTCTAACTGAGAAGTACTGACTTATTCTTGTCATTGTATTACTTTCCTGCTGATGATTCCTTTTCTTTACCTTCCACTTACTTGCTCGCCCTACCTGGTGCATTCATTCAACTGGACATTTTGGCGTTGGTAGCTTCATTATCTCTCTCTAGTAGCTCCGTGAGAATTTTTTGGAGTGCTGGTTTGGTGGTCCTGAATCTCTTTAGGTGCTCTTTGTCAAGTGGAAATATCTTATTTCTCCATCAATTTTGAAAAATAATTTTGCAGGCTACATCAGACTGGGTTGGAAGTTGTTTTCTTTCCAGGCTTGAAACACTTCATCCCCAGCAATCTGTGCCTTTTGGTTTGTGCTGAAAAGTTTGCTGCAATTCTAATGAGTTTTCCTTTATAAGTGATCTGTTGCTTTTCTGTAACAGCTGTTAAAATTCCTCTCTAGTGCTGAATTTCTGATATTTTGATTATAATGTGATGTGCACTGATTCCTTTCGGATCATAGCTAGTTGGAGTTCTATATGCCTCTCTTTTCTGTATGTTAAATTCTTTTTCTATGTTTGGAAAGTTTTCTGCTATTTATTCTGTAAACAGGTTTTTTTATATCCCTTGTGCTGTCTTCTGACTTTTCATTATGTCCAATTAATTGTAGATTAGCCTTCTTTATGGCATATAACAGCTGGTGGATCCATTTTTAATGTTTTCTTTTTATTTTTAAGTTATCACTCACTGATTAATCACCAACCACAGCCCTGCCTTCTAGATCTGACACTCCATCCTCACATTGGGGAGGTTCTCCTGGATATCTGCTTGGAGCTTTTATATGAACTCCAGTTCTTTTTTATGCTGAGCTTTCAAATTTTCCATCTCATTGTTTAGCTCTGGTACCTTTTTATTAGTGTCTTCTGTGGACTTGCTGATTGTTTCATTAGGATCATTACCTGTTTAATTATATCTTCTTTGAATTTGCCAAGCACCTTATTGATCTGTTTTGTTACCTCTACTATTATCCTTTCAGATAATTTGGCTGTGTGGCTTTGATTTCCTCTTCCTTGTTGGCCCCTGAATTGGCTTTGGGGAATTTGGGAGTTTGGGAAGACATTTTATTGCCTTGTCATCTCATGTTTCTATTTTTTGTTTTTTGTTTGTTTTTTGTGCTGGGGTTTGCTGATTTCATATAAAGGGTAACCTTTTTGCTAGTATAGATACCTCTTTAGTGAGTTTCTAATTTTCAAAGATGTGCTGTGACCATGGCTAAATATTGGTCTTTGCCTCTATCCCAGGATCCAGCCACCTCCATTTATTTAGAAAGAGAGGTTGCAGCTTATTCGGCCTGGTGCCCAGTTCTTCAGGAATGGGCTACAGTATTGTTTATGACACCCAGGAAACCCAGATATTGGCATACTGGGAAAACCAATTAACAGCAAAAAACTGTCACCTTGGCTGTAGTAATAAAATCAGCAACAACAATTCTCAAATATAAACTGGATATTAATGAACTCTAAAGATAAATAATGTACCATACTTACCCTCTAAAGATAAATAATGTACCATACTTACCCATAGAATAGAGGTCTATGATTATAATATGAACACTAAGGCAAATCGGATCTTGACCTACTGTAAATATCTACTCAATGGAGGAACTTTACCTCTACTAACAATAGAACAGTGTTCAACAGTAGTAAAATAAAGTTAAATAACTATCTATAAATTAATAAAGCTTAATATTTATACTAGTAAGGATAGAGTTTGTGAGGAATGGGAGCATGGAAAAAGCAGAATTTGAAAAATTAAGTGATAGAAGATGAGAAGGAGGTGATAAAAATGAAATAAAGGAGCCTATTAAGGAGTAAAAAGAATTTAAAGGTTAGATAAAAGAAAAAAAAAACAAGGAAAAGGAGAAATAAGAAAACAGAGCAAAAACTAAAGGAAACATAGAAAAAAGGGGGAACAAATTGAAAGACAGAGTGAGAAAAGAAAAGAAAGAGAAAAAAGAGTACCCAAACAAATTAAGGAAAAAGAAAATAGGAGATGAAACTCCAAACACCAAAAAGAAAAAAAAAAAAGAAAAACAATAGAGAAAAAAAATGATTCAAAACATTTCCTGTGTACTTTCAAATGACTGATTTCCTTCCAGGACCAGAAGTCTTTGGAATCCAGCAAGTCACTCTTCTCTGCTCCACTTTGTAGCCTGTGGGTTTGTGAGGTGACCTCCCCAGTTCAAGAACTCCTTCCATCTGTAAACCCTAGATTGTAGCTGCTGCCAAGCTGAGCTGCATTGCAGCTCACACTGGTACAAGAGATTCAATTAGACCACCAGTCTCACCTGGATGTTGGCAGTAGGGTGGTACCTCAAGCAGTCCTCTGGATTTAATCCAGTGGATTTCAGATCCAGACACCTCTGAAAGCCACAGGCTCTGTGTTTCTTATCCTACTCTGTTCTAACATTAAGAAGTCACTCTTGGGGTGAAACTGTTTTTTAGTTTATACCAGCCATGGGCCCTCCTTAGGCCTAGCACTGCTGGACCATCCATTATTTCTCCCTGAAACAGCCAATTTTTCTGGGCTTACCTTTTCTCTCTGGTGTTGGCCTCATCCTTATTCAGGTTGTTTGGTAGTTGCCTCCATGGCCCCATGGTTCAGGAAAGCAAGATCTAGAGCCAAGTAGCACTTACCAGTCTGATGACTGCTGCAATGGGTCTCCTCCTCACAGTGCATGATTGTGGACCTCCTCCTTCTTTTTGTTTCCTTTCTGACCTATTTTTATTTTGATTTCTCAGCCAGTCCTGTGCCTGCCTTTTGAAGATCCTAGACTAGACTTCACCTACCTGATCATCCAGATAGTGGCCCAGACCTTCTTCCTGCCTTAGGTCAGATGGAGGGCTCAGAGTCTACATGCAAAGATCTCCACTTTCCAGTTTGCTAGTAAACAGTCCTGTAAGGCAATCGTCACCATCAATCATCTTAATATTATAGATGAGGGAAATCAAAACTCAAGAAAAAAAGTTTTCTCAGCATGATAAATTTGGAGCCTATTGCTGTTATATGTGCTCTGTTAATAAACTGCAAAGAGAACAAAATTGTTTAGTTTAACCTAAATGTTTATTTTTAAAATATATCATTTTAAGAAGGTTGATTTAAAAGGTAACAGCTAACCTTATAGAGCCCAAACCTTGTGCCTGTGATTGTTCTAGTGTTTTACATTAATTCATTCTGTGCAACGTCTTAATAACCTACTTCCCATTTAGAAAGACAAAGTGCAGCTCGCTGACAATGTTCATCTAATTTGAGAGATTGATTATCTTTTGTAAATAGAAATACGGTTACTAAAATCAGAATGCTAAAATAGAACGATGTCTTTTGTTTGCAAAGACTATTGATATACTTGAGTATGTGAAAATAATAATAAAAGCAAGATATTTCTTGGGAAACTTTGGGGGTAAGTTTAGGGCTGTAATCTGCAAGTTATCTATGGATAAGAGCTGAGCTGCATGTGCTGCTGACGAGTATTGTCAGGACAAATAGAAAGTGGGTTCAGGAAGTATTATTATGTGACCATTTTATGGCTGAATCATGGAAGATTAAGAAACCTAGGGGTATGTGAGAGGGGTATGTGTGTTTGTATGTATGTAAGTGTAAGTATGTAACCTAGAGGCATGTATATATGAGCTGGGGTATGTGCCCAAGCAATCTGTCTCCACTGTACTGTACTGTCCACTGTACTGTCCTGAAATTTTTTAAAAAATATTTAAGAAGTACTTCAGAAGATACAAATATGGGTGCTTTTAATTACTCATAAAGCCCTAAAGGAGCTGAAGTTTTGTAAAGGGCAAGGAGCTCAGTTTTAGGTGGACCAGGTGGAATAATGCTTATACTTGTACAGAGCTTTTCTCCAAAGGGATCAGTAATTTGTTTCATATCCCTTCCACCCTAAGGCCTTTTTTGTTAATAAGGAAAAGATTAAGGAGGGAAGAGGAAAAATCCACTCTTCTATTTAAATGATCAAATGAAATGCTGACTGCAGCTGAAAACGCAGCTACTTGGCTCAAATTTCAGCAGGCAAATGTTAACTAGCCTTCAATGAGGAGAACTTAAAGCTCTCAACAAACCTGTAAGAGATGGATCAAGGTCTACTCTGTGTCAGGGATGATTGTAGGTGGGTGTTCAGTGAGCACATGATATGTCTTCCCCAAACAAAAGCAAAAGCCTTTGGAGTGCAAATGGATGCTCACTTACCTCCCAGGCTCAGCCTTGTACTGTGATTGGGTGCTTCAGATTCATGTGAGGAAGAAGAGGGAATCAGCAGCTCCCAGAATTTTCCAGGGCCCTGTGGGATGGGCTGATGCTTGGGCTGCAGTGGAGTCACCATGAACTCGACAGCGCACCTGGATCCTCAGGGAAACTCAGTGGAGGTCCCAGCACTTCATGGCTCCTACTTTCTGAACCAAGTTCAGGTGATATTGATTAAGCCCCAGAGGAAGACTTCCAGTGCGTTTCCCAGTAAAGATGTTAATTCTTCTGGCCAGTTGGTTACCAGGCAGGCTCTAAATCCTGCTGCTAGGCACTGTGTTATCTGTGGGCGGACACCTGTGAGAGAACACCTGTGGGGACTTGGGAACATCCTCACAAGAACAGCATCACTATCCCACTCAGGTTATCCGAGGCTGAGCCCAGAGCCCACCCTGAGGTCCAGGCTGTGCTTCAAGGCCTTCATGTCCATCTGATGTGTCAGCTCCAGGGTGGTTTGTGTCCAGTGGGGCTTGGGGCAGCCAGACTCGCAGTCCCTCTCTATGCTGAGTGAGAGAGGAGAGGAGATGCAGAGAGGGGGTCAGGACATGGGAACTCAGGGCCAGCTCTGTGCCACCTACCTGGGGTCCTTGGGATCTGATCATCTTCTCTGGAGCCCATACTCTAGATGCCAGTAGCTCCACAAGGACTTCCCAGGAGGCCCCTAGGACATGCACAGTGCTTTGAGGTTTTTTTGAGGCAAGACACTGTCCCAAAGAGTGGTTAGGCTTTCATTTATTGGAATGCCAGTGATATTAGTGTGGTGTGGCCGTTTACAGGGCATTTTGAGTTTAAAAGAACTATGGCCCCTCTGGTGTGAGAGCATCAACAGAAGCATTTCCACTCATTTCTACTCTACTTTTACCTTCTGTATATTAGTATTTTTCAGAAATCCTTATGGATGAGATAAAGGAATCAATAATTCTATTAGCACTCTAAGATTTCTCCAAGTCAGGCACCATAAGGTACAAGGTTTTTTTGTTTACTTTGCCATATCGGTGACTGAACTCAGGGCCTTTGCACTGAACCATATCCTCAGCCCTTTTGTATGTTTTACTTTGAGACAGGGCCCTGAATAAATTGCCCAGACTGTGCTTGAACGTGTGGCCCTTTTCTCTCAACCTCCCAGAGTGCTGGGATTACAGGAGTGCAGCACCATGCCAAGCTAAGTACAAGGTTTGTGTTCTTAACTTACTGATGGGAATGCAGATTATTTATATATATACAACAGAAAGCAAAAGGGAGACTGCTACCCTTTAACATAAATATGTAAATTATATGACAGAACAACATACACACGAAAATATTACCTCCAGAAACCTTTTCTCATCTTCCTAATTCAAGCAAATTTCTATTAAGCATTTAGAAAAAATAAAATCATATTGCCCACACAGAAATGTATATCTAATACATAAAATTGATATGTAGAGCTACTATTTTAAAAATAATCTATTTACCAAAATTCCTTTAACTTGATAAAGATCTATTGAGATAGTCATTGTCATTTATTCCATGATTTAAAATATGTCAAAATGGCCCTTTATATTTAGGTAGTAATTGCCAGTAAGACCAGCCATGCATGCTTATTTTTATCACAGAAATAACCCCCCCAGTACACACTGTACCACCGAGCTGCACACCCAATCCCTCAAATATGTTTTATTTAAGATAATAGCAGGAGCAGTGTAAGAATCAAAACTCTACTCTAGTGAGGGGAATTTTGGTGTAAAGTTTAAGGACCTAATTGGAATTCCTTGTCTATTACTTTGTAGCTATGGGTCCTTAGATAAATAATTATTATTGGCAAGCAGTCTTATGTCCTGAAATGGAAAAGTAATGAATTCTAGGGTTATTATGATTATGTAAAGTATGTGTAGAGGATAGAATATACAGAGTGCTTCCTGTTAGTGCTGGGCTGTGCTAAACACTCGATAGTGTGTCATCATTGTCATTATCATTGATTCTGTGAAGAATCCAAAAGTTTTTCTCTTCCCTTTTGGTCACGGTGGTGTACTATGTATTGCATGTGAATGTTATTGAGCATAGTTTGGTTTAGTATCATCACAAACTGGAATGCGTTTACTTGCATGAACTTTGCTCATGAAATAGCACTTAGTGAAGGGTTGTCTTGTGTTTGACTCTTCTTGGAGTGGATCAGAAGACATGAGGTCAAGGTGGCCAAAAGCTGAGCCCTTATCATGAATATTGCAATCTCATCTTTAGCTAACATTAGGTGTTCACAGTGAATAGGGAAAGAGGGAGTAGAACTCTTAATTACATAACTTCAGACAAATTATTTGCTTCAGTCAGAGTGTAATTCCTCAAATGTCTATATGTATTCTTTTCTTTTATCTTTTTTTTGGTGGTACTGGGCATTACACCCAGGGCCTTTGCATAGAGCTACATCCCCAGCACCCCAAACTTCTGCAAAAATTTTTATTTTGAGACAAATTCTCACTAAATCCCTAAATTGTGTAGATTGGGCTCAAACTTTCAATCCTCTTCCTCAGCTTCCCAGAGTGCTAGGATTGCAGGTGTGTGCCCTCATGCCTGGCTAGGCCATATCTAGTCTCAAAAACAGTCAGCTAATGATGTCAGGGCTCTTTCTGCCCTGGGGAAGAAAAAACATACCCTACCTTCCATTTTCTTCCAAGATTTGCCCTTATAGGAGAAAGGAGTCAGCCCAGATTGGTCAGATACAAATACACACAGGGCCGTGTTTCTCCACTGAGGAGATGTGGTGATGTGCCACCACGTGAAAGGGTATGACTCACGGATGTGCTCACCTCTCTCACCTCCTGAGACCTGTGATAGCATGGGCCTCCCATGCTCTGCATGCCAGGGCCCTGGCTTCTGCTGGAAGATCCCCTGCCTTTCTTTTCCACACACCAGCTTGTCTTGGGCTACTCCCCAGACACAGATCAGATAGCACCGCCACATGTGCTGAATGCTGGGGTTCCTTCCTTTGTTCTTGCATGAATGTGTATGGTTTGTATTGCCCTTTTTTAGGTCACAGTGGTAAATTCTCCAGCTCAGATTTGATGGTGACACATTCCCAGATTCACTGAAGAGGAAGAGCAAGTTAAGAAGTCTCATGTAGGGATTTCAGCTTCAGTAATGGTCTCCATCTAGATTTCATTAGATGGTTGCTTTGAGGTGCTTGATGGTCTTCCAGGTTGTTAACAAAACTGGTATTTTGTTTTCTTAAATGGCCTGCTTCTTTGGATTCATTTTCCTAATTGTTTTCAGGTATAGTCATGTCCCGCATAGTAATGTCTTAGTCAGTGACAGGCCACATATAAAAGAGTAGTCTCATAAAATTATAACGGAGCTTAACACTCCCTGTTGCCAAGTGATGCTCCAGCTATCCCAACCACATTTGTGGCACAGCACGTTGCTTAGATGTGTGTAGTGATTCCAGTGTAAACTAACCTGTGTGGCCAAATATGAAAGTATAGCACATGCAATTATGTATGTGATAGTATACAACTCTGCTACTGCTTTACATGTTTATTTGCTGATAAACATTTTATTATTAGAGTTGCTCCTTTTACACACAAACACACACACACACACAGATATTTATTGTATAACAGTTTACCATTTATACTGGCTTCATATGTCTCTTGTTTACCATGCCATTTTACTGCAACATTTTTCTTGGGTTTGATTTAATTTGTATTGTTTTTATCATATAGCCTAAATATGTAGCATCCCATACAATATAGGTTTCTATAAGTACACTCTATGATGCTTTTGCAATTCCAAAACAGCCCAATGCCAAAACAGCCCATTCTCAGAAGGTATCCCTACGGTTAAGTGAGACATGATTGCATTAACAAATAATATTATGTCATGTTTCAGGAGTGAAAAGTCTGGTCCAATCTCATATCAATTCCACAAACTTATGCAATCCATTTTCTCTCTTCCAGGTTGGGTTTAACTCAGGATCCAAGGTCTATCATAGGATAAAATGTTGGGGGCTGGGATTTATTTTAGTGGCACTGTGCCTGCCTTGCAACCCCAAGGTCCTGAGTTTGATCCCCAGTACCAAAAAAAAAAAAAAAAAAGAGTAGTCTCTGTTTCCTAATACTCCTTCTGATACTTTCTGTGTTAGTTATTTTCTAGCTGCTGAAACAAAATATCTAACACCCACAATTTAAAGGAGGAAAAGTTTATTTTGACCCATAGTTTGTAGAGGCTTCAGTCTGTGGTCAACAACTTCAAGGCACAGTGTCATGGCAGAGGGGCATAGCAGGCAGGAAGCAGAGAGATTTCTTGCTTTCTCTTTTTATTCCAATCCAAGCTACAGGGCTATTGATTGGTGCCACCCACACCCAGGATGGTTACTCTTCAGTAAGCCCATCTTTCACACCTAGAACTGTGCTAAACCAATCAGTGAACTAAACCAGGATCACAGGCCCATGATCCAGTTACTTCCAAGAGCCCCACCAATGAGTGCACGAGGCTTTGGGGAGACAGCTAGACATAAGTCATAACACTTTCTGTTCTCCCCATGCAATGCTTCTAGCACTTATGAACTTGAGAAGGAGGAAAATGGATAAGAAAGCAGAACATTCATAGATAGCTGAAGCTGGGGTGATTGAAAGTTTCTCTTGCCTGTTAAAATGATCTAAATTGTGAGGCAGGCACAGTGCCACTGAACTAAGTGGGTTTGTGGAGGAAAAGGAACACTTCTCCACTATTGGTGGGAGTTTAGACTGGTACAACCACTGTAGAAATCATCATGGAGATACTTCAAAAAACTAGGATTAGAGGCCCCATTTGACCCAGCTATTCCCTTGCTGGGTGTCTCCCCAAAAGAATTAAAAGAATAATACCACAGTGACATATACACATGTTTATAGCACCACAGTTTGTAATAGCTAAAACTTGGGAAAGGCCCAATTATCCATCAACTGGATGGGACTAGATAAAGAAAATGTGTTTTTTAATAAAATGGAGTACTACTCAGCCATAAAGAATGAGAAATTAGAGACATCTATAGCTAAATGAATGCATATTGAGACCATACTCTAAAGTGAAATAAATAGGGCAAACGTGTAAATACCGGTTTCTCTGGTGTGAGAAAGTGAAAGTGTAAATAAAGAACAAAAAGTATAATAGATAATGTGAAATAGGAAGAAAAGGTCCAAAAGGGAAGGGGAAATGGGAGGGGTAGGGGAAAGGAAAGAAGGGAAAGTAATAAATATGAGAAAAGAAAAAAATGTTCTAAATGGGCCAGATATCCAATGTTGACTTTCTCCTGTGGAATACTTTCTGGGTTGTTTAGTTCATGCATCTCCATTGTTGGTTGAGCTCCTCTGCAGAAACCCAGCCTGCTAGACTGTTTGTTAGGATCACCCTGGGGAGACTTTCTCCTTCAAGTGCACTTTTGATTGGGCTCTTGTTCATGGTGCAGGTACAGCTCATTTCTGTTCCAACCCTAGCTTTCTCTCTTCCTCTTGTCTTGAAGGAAAGTGTAACCATGCTCCACTCTAGATAT